GAGCCGCAGGTCGCCTGTTACCGCCAAAATAATGGCCACATTTCACGGCGACTAGCGGAGTGGCAGGGTAGCATGCCTTGGGAACCGGAGTTAAATCTCGTGTTGGTGGCGCACAGAACCACCAGAGACTCTTCTATTATCAGTGTATTCCTAAGCAGTAAAATAAAACATTCAGACCTTTTCCAAAGGTATTTATTGGATATAGCATTTTTTTTTCTTAGTTAAAGAGTTTCCCGTAAGTATTAACAGGTAGCACATTCAGCAATGTGTTTATCACATTACTCCATCACACCGTGGAACACAGAAACCAGAAGCTCATTTAAAAAGAAAGGATCATAACATTCTTAAGAGGTAGGTGAAGAGTCTTGTATTTCATAGCTTTATATTAAAGGGGCAAAGGAAAATAGTCACATCTGGGAAGAATAGTCAATTTAAGCCAGTTACATCAGCTAGGATTCACAACCTATGTTTTTGCATGACTACCGCAGCTTCATTTTGGTAAACGCCGCACCTTTCCCATTAAACTTTACTGATACTAATAGGCAATGTCTTAACCCTTCTATCTACCATCCAACTGGTAGAGCACCCCACTACTCGGGCTCTTCTTCTTAATAAAAAGTCCTTGTTCAGATGACTGAATAAGAAAAACTGCAGAATCACTGGGAAAGTAAACACCTGTCTTCCGTGAATATTTTTTGTAATTATTAACCTGGAATTTCATGTCATAAATATTAACTAACAGCTGAGCAAGCCAGAATAAAGAACATGGTAAGATAAGGAATTGACTTTTTGAAAACACTCCAGCAGCTTCACCTCAGATCACTTTCAATACTGGAGAGAAAAAAAAAAAAAGAAAAAGAAAAAAAAAGAAAAAATATCAGTATGTTTCAATCAGACTAATCTGGGCAGTCCAGACTGCAAAACTGAAAAAAAGATCTAGTTGAGCAAAGAATGCCTTTAATTTCACTGATCTCAGTCATGCTTGGAGGGAATGATGAAAAACTGTAACATGACTGCACCATCTTCACTTCTCAAATGCCCTTTTTTCCTGTTAACGCAATACAGGCAACAAGATGTGGTAAGGGAAACAACGTAGTTCAACTTAAAATTTTGAAGCTAGGAAAGCTGCAAAATCTGGCTTTCAGAATATGAATATTTAAATATTCCTTATATTTCAGAGTGCTACTCTGACTAAAACCGAGTATCCTTAAAAAGTATAATTAAAGCACTTACTTCAGGCCTCTCCAACAACCAGTCGGTGAAACAAATCCTCTAGAGAATGACCTGCATCCGCAAGGATTGAATTAGAATCTTCACCGAAAGCTTTGTAAGACTTCTGTGGTTACAAAAAGCATGCAAGCTACTATGCCTCTCCCCTCTGTTCCTCATATGAGACTTTTCTGAGGGAGACTGGAATGACTCAAGAATTAAAGTCATAAGTGGTAAGAGATGCATTTAAGCCATCTTTCTACATAATAAATATTGTATAGATCAGTAGGATACACAGACCAAAATTTGACACTGGAAGAAATACAATTTTCTCCAAGAAACTTATTTCTTTGTGACAGATTTAGTTTAGAAAGTGCCCATTCACAATATAGTTCCATTATCTTCTGTTGACTACAGACATTTCAGTAGATGACATCAATGAAGCTGACACAACAGGGCACCAATGCCACCCTCTCCTCCCTATGACACACTTTGAGGTCATTTCGTAAAAGATGCCATTACCACCAGCATGTAATCTAATCTGGAAGTCTGACAGAAATTAACTGCCCAAAGGTTTTAAACTGTCATTAGAGCATTTAAGTGTATGATGCAACAAACTTGCTGAAACATGCTAACAAACACAGGCTATATACTAATTGTGTGCAATTCTGAATAGAACTACTGTTTCTTAGTACGAAGTTCCTCACAGTAAGAAGTACTCTTCTTCACTTGTTCACTGAAAATAAAGGGAAAAATATGCTGAACTGTGTTGTTATGAATAGGGTTACACATTATTCTAACTAGTTCTAAGCTTTTTGGATTCAAAAAATCTCCATTTTAACATCCCAGAACCTCAAAGACTTCAATCTGCTTCAGCACTAAATCCTTGTACTTCCCTCTCCATTCCTTTCCAGCAGAACATGGCTTTGCCATACTATGCAGAACATCAAGAACAGTCAAGCAATCTAGAGTCTACTCACATTAGTTTTTAATGACACCTTCTCCAAAATATCCTTGCCACTTCTGAACACTTATCCTGTTGTAGAAATCAATTTACAACATGTCACATCCACACACAGAGGCCACTGGCCCAAACATCTCCTATTTCAGTTGTGCACAGCAATAACAAAAAAATAAAGCCCTATTACCACATATATATATATATATATATATATATATATAAAAACTAATGAGACCTCCAAACCAAAAGTAAATTAGTGACTCATGAAATTATCTCTTCTTGACAGGGCTCAAACTGTATTCTAGCAACATAAGTTTTACTTTCAGAAAGAAGTGCCATTGAAAGGCGTATTTCCTACAATATTGTATCTTACCACAAGGTCATTCAGGTTTTGAAATTCCTTTTATTAGAGTATGACATTCCAACTTTTCATGTTTTTAAATATTAAAATATATTAAATTATTTTATAAATTTAGAAAAAGGTAAGTTTGACAAAAAGTTACCCATTTGTGTTCAAGATAACTTTGGGACCTCTCTGCTTTTTGTAAACATCCACCTCACCATTTAATGATGAGCTGCAAAATGTCAGAGGGGAATAATTCTTTAGTACACCTGTTTCTCAAGCTGCGTATCTTTAGGGACAGAAGAACTGTTGTGCTGTATATTCATTCACAAAAACTTATACTAGAGAAATAAACCATTAGGAAAGCACATACACACCTCCAAAAGAAGTAGTACTACTGCAGCATGAAACTGTAGGATCACTCAGCCACCAGGAAAGACAATAACAATCCCATCACTTGATAATATGGCCTATGCAGAGGACTGGCTACTCTATACCGCACTATACACATAGGAAGCAACAGGACATCTAGAATTACAATCCTTCTACGAAGAATATGATTTTGCTGAGAAGAACACTTTTGTAAAAAATTTGAAATGAGATGAACAGAATGCTTAGTATCTAGCTTGGGACCCCCACAGAGTCAGTAAAAAGCAAGAAGGTTTACAGGTTTGCATATTCATACACTCCACACTGCAAAAGTATCAGGAGTAAACGGGCTGGAAGCGTCCACTTTACTGACTGGAATTTTACATTAATCTGGGTCAACACTGAAAATGGAGCCCCAAAGAAACTGTTCACATTTGTGTTCTGCTTTCAGAGCAAGATCCAAGCCTGGTGGAATGGATGCAAGGCAACTTGAAATCGGCATCGTCTACTGAAAGAGAATATCCTGCATATTCGTCTCGTTGAAACTGTGATACTGAAGCTACTATAACAAAGGTACCTAGATCTTGAGATGAAAGTCTGAATTGCAGACACAAACTCCCAGAGACATGGGCAATTTGCCCATAATCTGACATGAATATGCTCTCGGAGTCTATACATGTATCATTAGAGACAGTAGATTAATTGTTAATTGGTAATAAGTCTTGACCATGGAACTCTCTCTTGACTGCTATTTATCAGTGTCAGGTAGTAATCTGGTTGAACGGATTGTTGTTTTGTTGTGTTTTTTTTTTTAAATTAGAGAACTGCGTAACACTAACTTTCAATATAATGCCAAAAATGTCAGTTCTCAATTAAGACAAAATTGTGAGCACAATAAAAACCAAAAGTGAATATGTAATATATTTGATACAATATTATATTGCTCAACTCCTGCATAGATTTATTTGCGTACACCTGTCCTTACAGGGAAATAGCAGTGATTATCAAAAGATGTTACAAACTTTTACAAGGTGTCAACCAGTGAATTACTGTTGCCCTGATAAACCTATAAACACTAGTTATGTGTCCAAGAACACCTCTTACAGACACAAGTTTATGACCGTTGTGGGGAGAAAAAAACCCCAACCTTTAATTTTTTTTCTTGTTGTCAAGTGAAATTAGTGCTGGTATCATGTGCCAAACTAAGAGCTTTAGAAATGGACGATTCATCTACAAGGATGACACAGATAGCATAATACTCCCCATACCTCTGCAACCAATAGATACTATGACCAGAATATCTATGTAACTCCCAAGATCTACTGAGTATGACAACTGCTACTGATCCAGGAAGAACTGCAATGAACTCATTTCCTACTGGTAGCTGAGATAGCCTTGATTTACTGAAGCGTAATCTAAATTTGCAACTTAAATTGAGAAAGGCCTGATATCTTACTAGTCATTGAAACAGTTCAGCTTCTATTGTGGTTTAGGCTTAAATCCTTTGGCCAACAGACTGAAGTTCACAGAACTGCAGTTCTGCGTTCTGAAAAACAGACTAAAAGACACCAAAGCTCAAGCTCACTCTAGCGAGGTAAATGAGTACTGCTTGTATTAGGTATGTGAACAAAAATAAGCATCTCCACACTTGTAAAAGACTACATTATGTGATTGTTAATATCAAAAAAAATTAAGGCTTCTGTGACAACAAAGAAATGCACTTGACCATTTACAGCAAAACAGATTTATACAATAACAACATGTAACTTATGGCCTTGTCTACCTGCAAATGAATTCCTTCAGCAGGTACACACAATATATTGCTCAGTCATAAAAATATATATTATCTCTTTCCTTTAACATTTAGGTATATAAATATTTTACTGAAGAACATGCATCATTTAGATAAACAATTGCAAGAACATCCTCTGAAAACATAGGGTTCTTTGACATTTAGCAGTATAAAATGATTACATAAACATAGCTATTAAAGTCAAGACAAACCAATACAGCAGTAAGCAGTCCATTGTGTGCTAGTCCGAAGAAATTAAGCACCTTTTGCAACAGATTATATAATATATACACACAGAGAATGCATTGTAAATGGAGCAAAACCAGCATCATTCCATTTGCATATTCTTCAGTCTTGTTTGGACTCCAAACTTACTGTTCGCTTTTCTGCTCTTGTTTTCCATTCAGCTCTTGGTCAACTCTGCTTAGCAAAGAAAGCAGTAAAATTAAAAACATGTTAAGAAGTAGTTTAGTTTGATAGCTTATATATTAAGCAAAAACTATTAATCGTAACAGGAAAACACAAAGCTTTTTCATGGAAAAAGTTTTAGTAAATAAATATTAAGATTTTTATTGAATGCAGTCACAACAATGCTTTTTTTTAAAGAAAAAAAATGTTTTCCTACCTCCCCCTAGAAATTAATTAAAAGTGTTAAGAAACCATTTAAATAACTATAGCATTTGAAAGGAAGCATTTGAAAAGTGCAAGTGCTTTTGCACAGAAGAAAAAAAGCAGGTTCTATGCTTTTATTAATGACTGCAAGCAGGAATACAAGTTTACAGGTAACATGACAATACTCTCAAGCACTACTACTTTGATGAAGTCACACACTGCAGAATAAGCACAGGATTACCTTTAATGTTATAGTAGTTAAGCCAAGAAGGTAACAGTGCTAGCTGAATCAACAAAAGTGAAGTGGCTCCTTAACTGCAATGCTTTTTCTATCAAGTTCTAAGACTCTTGTAATTACACAGGAAAAATTCATCCTGCTGCTAAAACTTGTGTTTGTTTGTGGCTTTTTTTTTTTCCTTAATACCTGTCTTGGGACTAGCAAACAAAACGTTGCTTTGCAGAAACCAGTGGATGGTTGATAGTCCCGCACAAGATGTACTTTTCCTCTTTACAGTAAGAACAAACTAGTCTTAACTGTATCTTCCAGAAAAATCAGTTTTGCATGGAGGTAAGTTATTTTAAAACCAACAGCAGTTCCAAATTGAGAAAGAAGACAAACTTGGCCTCAGCCTAACAACCTAATTGTCTAACCTACCTGTCCAGTCTCTCAAACTGTAACCAGCCAATTTTTCAAAGTGATAAAAACAATGGCAGCTCTTCTAGGCCATGAACCCATAAGAAAAGGGAGGCAAGTTTTCAGAGGTTTTTTTGCAGCTGTAAGAACTAAACCGAGTACATAAGGATCCAGCAGGTCTGGAGCAGTGTTGTCTAGAAGCAACAGTCCTAGTTGAATACCTGTTCACCTGCACAGTACACAGCTGCAACTCATCCGTGTCCTCGCTGCATGTTTTGACATGACTTACAGGACTAAGCACAGAAAGTGTAAGAAAATATGGTAAGCTAATGCAAAAAAGCTATGCATAAACACACAGCTGACAATATAAATCCATAGAAGTATATCATATTCTAGCTTCCAAAGTGACTCATACACATAGCCAAACAACTCCTACTGCCATCCTCTACAAATTGAGTAACTAAACTTCAACACATCTCCTTTTCCCCTATTATAATAAATAATGCCTACAACTGCTTTCAACCTGATTAGTCTCAGTATGAAATGGTGTCTGTGATCTCTCCTCTATACTTAAAGTTTCACTTAGGAACAAACTACTTTTTACAAAGGTGATGGTAGTATAAGTGATGATATCAACAGGGACATGAAAAAGTGCTGCTTGTAGTGGAGATTTTAAAAAGGTTTTACATCACTGTTTGAATGTCTCGGGTTTGCATCCTGAATACAATGGGCCTTGCAATAGAATTGGGCCAAATTATGCACGCTCAGTGTTCCTCTCTCTGTCCCTTACCCAATTTAGACAATAAACGTCCCTCAATAGTTGTAATGCACAGTAACCGTAATTATAAAAAAAGCAGTTAGTAGCAAAACCTATCAGTACATTTGTTAGTGATAGAGTGAAAAAATGAAATATCCATTCAAAAAGTTTCATCAGTTGCTGGAATAGCTTGAATAGTTAGCAGGAGACTGAAAATTAAGAAAATGAAAATACAATGTTTATTAGCAAGGAACATAGGCACTGCAAATACAAACAGCACTAAAAATACTAATTAAAATTGCATCTGTGCAAGTTAATAACTAAAAAGGTATTGAATACCAAAAATACAAAATACAAGACTCAATATTAGAACTTCTTCCAGACTTGCATCTCTGCTGATGCATAGCTACAGCTTAGCACCTAAATCCAGCTCTTCCTTCAGATACCACTTCTTGTTAGACAGTAAAACGTGACTTAATTCATACAGAAGCACTACTTTTGCCTCTTGAAAATTCAGTTGAGAATCCATGTATCCCCCTTACAAGCGAGCATCTCATGTAATAGGACGGCCAGTATTCACAAATATCTGTTTGAACATCCAAGGTGAGTTCTTTTAGATGATACTGTACAGATGAACTGTACTTGCAGGCAGTATAGTTACTGTCATGCATAAAAACTTAGTCACTAGTGCATGTTTATATTTACAAATGCTTATTCCTTTGTGCAAGCCAATCAACTGGCAGTTAGTTGCAGTGCAAATCGTCTTATCTAGATGCAACCCTAATCAAAATATGAAGATACCTTTTCTGTTTCTTTCTAAACTTTTCTTCTTCATACCTTGGTGAGGAAAAGTTTGATTCAGTAAATATAACATATGAAGGCCAAATTCAACAGAAGCTGCGAACTGGTATTAGCGTCAACACAGTTTGTAGAAACATACCAAGTTTTGAAACTGATGTAATTAAGAAAAAGACATATCATACCTCCAACATTTATAAGCATTAAACAAGAAGCATTAAGATTTAGTTACTATGACATATGAATTCGATACAACTTCTTGTACAGTATTAACATCCATCACTAAAATATAAAGTCTGTATTCGTAACAGTTTGAAGCCAGATATAATCCTCCACAAAAGTCTGAGAATTAACTCCATAAGTCAACCAAGTTCAGCCTTTGCAAAACAGTTAGCAGCTCATTAATACAGAAAGGAGTTTTTCAAGACGTGGGGCAACAGCCTGAATATTCCTAACGCATCCTTCAAAAGCCCCAGTAAAAAAAAAAATATATATATATTCTAAAGATAGCACAAGGCTACTTCAGCATTGTCATATTTGTCCTCCCCGCCCCAAGAAAACTGTGTTTTCCCTATTTCATAAAAAGTTAAATTGTGCAACTGATACTGGCTGAATGTATACTGCAATAACCAGCCATTTGCAGGGGGAGGGAGGGATTTGTGGATTCATCCAATACGGATATGCCCTTCTCTCCACACAATGAGACTACGCCATCTGTTTTTATGGTGTTCCCAGTTGGTAATCCCATTTTGTATGTTACACCCTCTAATAGGCTGATGAATTTATCATCAGAACTGTTAGTATTTTCATCTGGATTTTTTAAGACCCAAGATTATGGTTTCTACTCTGTTACTGCACCCACAAATGCTATTGACAAAAGTATAATTATCATATTTGAGAGCAGAGTTGTGCTGACCTTAAAATGAATATTTATATATGGAGGGAAGGAAGAAGAGAAAAACCAAGGACATTGACGCTGCCTTCACCTCTTCAGCAAAGTAGGTTTAGAACTGCTATGGCTAGGGATTTAGCCTTTTTCCACCACAGCTCTCCTTTTAAATGAAATCCCAACCCAAGTGATATTTCACCACTCAACTTGTTCCACGTTTTAGCATGAACACTAAAGATACTATAAAGAATTTCAGTATCAACATGCCCAGAATTTCTCACTCACAAGCCAGTTTAGTATACTAAGGGGTAGATCACCTGGAATGAGACTTTGCCTCTAGAAGGCTAATTCACACACTACAACTTGCTAATTACGTAAGGCACTATGTGAAAATCCCTATACATTAACATTTTGACTATCCAAGCTACCACATACCAAACTGTAGTTAGCAAAGTTGTCAAACATGGATACTCCTCCTAGAGATAGCAATGATCTGAGTTAAATTAAATTTTATTAAATGCAAAGTATTACATTCAAACCAATCATTGAATACAATATATACCAGTTCTAAAACATGATCAGTGTAGAACATGTTTGAATAATAGAACGTACTGTTTTATGCATTCTGGGATGCCAACGTATTCCATGGGGATGAGTTCAGCTAGTTCTGCCAGGGTAAAGACATACCTAATTTTTTGGCTGAATTTTGAGCTGTGGAAGAACAAATGCAGGGTACAATTACAACTTAAAATTTTTTTTAGTAGGTCAATATTAAAACAGTTTTTGAAGTTTAAAGTAAACAGTTGTTAGGATTATTTTTTTTTAAAAAAGGAGAAAAAAAGAAATAGCTTCCAGAGTATTACCTAATAAAAGGTTTTGTGATGGCCAGAAGCGTTCTGATGAACCAAGAAGGATGAACTATGATTAATGATTTCAGATTTTTCCTTAACCTGAAGAATTCAAACAGTGGACATAATTACTAGAACAAAAAGGCAGCATGACAAGAGTTTTTTTAATATACAAAAAGTGGTTTTGCAAGCACAACTGTCACATAAATCTAGTATTCCGATATTCCATTATTAGAAATTACCATCTGCCAGAAGAAAAAAAAAACACCCACACAATTGTATAGTCAAAATTTAAGATGTAGTACCAGGTTGACGACAGTGACAAGGAAATAACATTCAAAAGAGAAGTTTCTTTGAATCTTTTTACACAACTAATGATGAAGTGGTTCACAAAGGACCCCCTTCTTACCTTATCATATTAATACATGAAGTTTTAACGATACCCTACATGGTAACAGTATTCAGTACTCTAACACAACTATTTTCACTAAAATACAAACAAACAAAAAGCAACAAAAAAACTGACTTGCCTACAGCATTATTCCACATTGTCTAGCTTAGGAAGAGGTTTTCAATACACAAAGCAATTTGCTTAATTAAATCTTAACCAGTAGGTACCAGACACCATATTAACAGCAGTTTTTCCTAAATGTGTATATCACTAACCATGTGAATATTATAAGAAAACACTGCAGAGCTTCTTACCTTCTATCAATTTGCTGGTAACACTTCCTAAGCCAGCCTAAACTTGGCATTTTTCTCCGTGTTGTTGCACCATTCAGGTAAACTATCATATAGTTCTCTGCTACTAACAGCTCTAAAGTGCCAATTACATACCTGCAGAGACAAGCAAAGAAAATTTTCAAGTGAAGATCTGTGGATATTAAAGTAATTCCTAGTAGTGCTCAAATATATTTAAAAATAGAGTTGGCAACAGTGTTGACCAACATCTAATAATTTTTTTTTTCTTCCCCTGGAAGCAGATGTAATTGCTTTTCTATTTGTTATCTTTCCCTCATCTGAAATATTAAAAACTTCATAAAAAAAAAAAGAGAGAAGTAATCGCCACTACATTAAAATACTAAGTTTCACAATGTGAAATTAAGACAGTATTCAGAGGCAGATGACGACTTACTTAAATAGATTGTCCATTAGGTATCTGTAGTTAGGCTGACTGCTTTCAGGCATAAAGCAAACTGCAAACACAACAATGGCATTTAACCCATCACCGTAATAACCTAAAACCAAAGAAAAAAAGCAGCAGTAGTGACAAAGGTGGCTATACATTGACTACATTTACACAAAGTCAAGCATATTCAATAAGCTTTTACATTATTTACCTTAAAGAGTTTTACAAATATCTATTCTACATGGATGGATTCATACAGTTATAGAAAACCTTAAGATTTCCTTTTCAGGTTTGCCTACTTCTAAAGAAATAGCTGAAGCTGATGTAAATCAAATGCTGCACCTACAATCAACATCTCAGTAAATTTAATAACATTTTATACTGTCAACTTTTCTTCCAACCTAAACTCCACACACTGTTGGGAAGAGTCATTAAATTGATTTGTGCCTTTGTAGATCTACAGTTAATGCTTTCAACACTCTTAAAACCAAAAAAATTATACTGCTGGCACTGACACTGACACTGTAGAACACATAAGTACATCTTATTACATATGTGTATCTTTAGTAGCTTCATCTAAACACATGTGTACATTTTGGAACTTTAGTTTAACAGGGAAAAAAATATTGAATCGACCATATGCCTTAATACTGCAACAAATGGATCATCATGTGAGCCTTTATGCCCAAAGCTCTTCCTGTGCCACCCCAACTCCGCTTAAAGAAGTAGTGTCTCAACAGTTCCCCTTAGCACATCACTAATCCTTACCACCATGACTGATAACTTTTTTATAGGGTTCAATTGCCTTCATATCCACCCTATGGTTCTGTTCTCCAATCCTAAACATCCGCCAGCGTCGACCATCATCTTTCTCCTCTGCCGCAGTGTATTCAGTAAGTGATCCTTTCCTAATTACATCAGTAGTTTTTGGTTTTGGAAGATCATCTGCCAAAGTTAAAACATATTAAAGATACATTATGAATACTATGTATAGTGACAATCAGCTACAACACAGGTTAACCACTTTGCTATTTAATCTATTTTAATATTCTTTAGCCAGTCAGACATATCAGCTGACTTAGTTCCTTCAGTCATTACAAAATAGGATCTTATGGGTGTCATATATATTTTATTAAAATACTCTATGTTGGCAGTTATCCGTTGACTGTAATATTCTATATTAAAGTACATGACAAATTTCCATATGTGTAGGAAGCCTATTTAATTGTAGGCTTTCAGAACACAGACCATGCCGAATCTCACCAAAATAGACAAAGTGGTTAACTCCAATGATAATTACACAAGTTGCTTGATCACAGATTTACATAAAAGCATGATTTAGGACATTGACAGTACCTTGCAAGCAGACATGCAGGCAAATCTATTAGAAATTAAATCTATTCATGTGTGTGCAATCAATATGTATGAAATTTATGCTGACAGCAATCTGTAAAACAATTTGCTCCAATTAAATTATGATTCTTGACTTTGTAGCATAGGCCTTACCCAAAGAGAGAAAAACCTACTGCAAGTTAGTTGTCTGTTCCCAAGACAAAGCTGTTAATTGAAACTATCCTTCCAGGAAAATGAAGGCAGCAGCATTAAAGGAAGAAAAGACAGAAACCCTTTTCAGCCACTTTTAAAAACAAGGCACAAACATCCGGAACATTTCCTTCACATCATTGCAAAACTAATGCTAAATATCAATTCTTCTTCACTAAAATGATGAAAATCCTTTTACACAGGTAAGCCCACAGCCTCTGTTACAAAACTTTACCTGCAATATGTCTTTAGCTACTTCAAAGAAAACCCTAATTCTAAAGGGTGTTTCTTTCTCCATTTATAAGCTATTGTGGAATGAAGAACAGGTAGTGTTTCATACTTAACAGTGAAAAGAGAGCTTCCTGTTTACTCAGGAATTAAAATTATTTTATTTCCAGAATAAATAAATAATAAAAAGACATTATTAAGTCATGAAGTTTACAGAAGTTAAAAACTCCAACTGTTTGACGCGACAGTTCTTGGCTTACATAAAAGGGCCCTAAAACATAATTAAATTTCAAGTTTAAAACTTATGCTTTAACTCCTACACAGAACTTTTTTACCTCAAATAAAATTTGTTAGAATCTCCAGGTTTTGCCTGTAAGAAAAATTTCTTAAAATTAAGATCATTACTAGTGTGACTATAGCTAAGTTAACTTCCTATCAAGTCATTTCAGAACTCCTTGACACATAATAGAGGCTATTCTACCACTTTCAGTCAATCCAGAAAGCATGCAAACTCTAAGGCTACTGACCTTTTGACATTCTTGATGCAGCAACATATGAGATCAGGTGTTACTCAATATTTTAAAAAATACCATTCAGTCCTCCTTAAATACAAACGCTTGCAATTCATCAATTTCTGACTAATCTATAATCTAGATTCCCTTAATATGTTTCCCCTCCATTTAAAACTGATCTGTAACACCTGTAAAACACTTTTGATATTTTTTTCCCAGGTTGGTTTTAACAATACTGCAATGGAGAGGATTTTCCAAAACTTCGAGTCTTGCAGGTGTTTAATGACATTCACCTAAGTTTATTTGGAGTTACAGCTATTATGTTGCCTGCTTACTAGTCAGCTGAGGTCTGATTTGCTCTTTAAAAAATTCATTGCACCTATTTCCAATTTCTAATCTAATCACTCCCTTTATATTTTTCCTCTTGTAATATTGAATCATAGTTATTTCCCACCTGAAAAACTGTTGACCTGCACATATGAAAATAGAAATATTTTTAGGGCATCAGACAAAAGTAACAATACACTTACCTTCCCATTCAAACTCATTGCTATTTTCTGAAGGAGTATCTAAATTGTCCAAATCAATCTCTCCACTCTCATCCAAGTCATCAGACAAAACAGATTCCCCACTGTGATCCAAAGTTAAGCTAATATCTGGAGCCATTAATTTCTTCCTCACTTTGGTTCCATTAACCTCTGTAGTTAAAAAAGCAAATTATTTAAACAATTATTATTCCAGATACATTGTTTAAATTATGGTCATTAACTTACAAAGCATTCTGAGGAAGCACTATGCTCTTCTGTCTTGTTAATATGCTCATCTAAACTCGCTTTAGCTTTGAAAATAAATAATTTGCTCCATTCTTTTCACAGGGTGAAAAGAACAGCATTTGGAGGTCAAAGTTCTCAAGTCCTAAGACTGTGAGTTTACCCAATTGCATACACACTATGATCACAGCGGTAGAGCACCATACTCCCCACAGAAGAAAAACCTGAAGTGCTGACACCACCTAAGCAACTGTTACCCATACTAGCTATATCAAAGTGTACCACAAGTTGTTCTAGATGTTATATTAAATAAATCTTGCAAATAATCCAATACATTCATGTCCCTAGCCCTTGTTAGGTATTGGTAACCTCATAACCATCTTTGATGAAATAAAAAAATTATATACAAACTGAAAAAACAAAAAAGGCGGCTGACAGACAACAGTGAGAATAGAAAATTAAAGAAACTTTTAGGTGAATACACAGCACAGCACCCTTTGAGACAAAAGGCAAATACTTTTGTGGTTTAGACAGCAGTCAAAAGCAGGGAATAAAATAAAATGACTGATCCAGCACTGGAAATGCCACAATGAAAGCAGACAAACAAGATTAAAAAAATTCAAAAATGTAAAAAAAACCAAATCCCATTATTATTTCCTCTCTAACCATTCCAACAGGCAACACTCTTAAAAGGCCACAAAGCTCTGAGATTTAGAGTGAAGTTACAGTGGGCCCTAACTGATGCATAGAAGCCAAATAATGAACCAAGATTTTAAGACAGGTCAGGAAGTGAGTGCAACAATTAATTTTTGTCCAGTATCACCTGAATAACTCCGCTCACAGGGAGGATGAAGAGTCTCACATTTTATTCCAAAACCCTTTTCTTTCTAGACAAGATGTTTATAGTACGCTTCATATACAAAAATGTCATTTAGAATTCTGTTTCCTCAAGCTTGACTCAAAAAAAACACCAACCCACTTAAAAAAACACCCAAAAACACCCAAAACCAAAGTGGAGCTTTAAAACAGACATCTAAGTAGGAATCAGTCAGCTTGACTGGAGTGGAATGTTCCTACCAGCTTCGCCGTCTGTTCCAGCTGCAGCCAATATATCTGACTCAACAGGATCATCCTCTGGCAGGGGCCTGGTGCACAAAACACAAACTATTGTCACAAAACTTTTTTTTTTTTTCTTTTTTAAACAGCCAACTAAATACCAAATATTTAGACTTAGGCACTGCTAAAAAAAAAACCAAAACAAACAAACAAAAAACAAACAGCAAAACACTGTGGGATAGTACTGAACTGAATTTACTTATAGCCTAAGTTCAAGCTTTCAGTAAACAAAGCACCGAAGTAACAGAAAATTCTTTTACAGCAGTCAAGTGACCATCTGTTGATGTGACACATGCCAAAATACTGGTTGTCACTACTGCATGTCAGCCTTAAGAAAACTTGTCATATTCTTGCTCGAAAAAATTTGACATTAAATACATTACAGAAGTAGTTTAATCATGTTATTATAGAATGCCTCGGAAGTCAGCTGCTTTAGTTGCTTTGTAGGCCCAAGCACCACTAGCAGTCTTAACTGTTAAAAATTTTGCTCAGAAATGTTGCTTCATGAAATATTTGGGCCTTCAGACACTGGTAATAATATGCAAACAATGTAGTTGCAAAAGATTACCACAGAAAACAAACAAAGCCAAACTTTGAAATTTTCACTTTGGTAACCCTGGAAACTTCAGCAGTGATATTCCTGTATTACATAATTTACACATGAACACAGAGTGATCCCTTTCCAGACCATAAAGAAACATACCACAAAACCTTCTCAAGACTACTGTATCAATGGAAATCACTTCAAGATTATTATTGACTGTTAGTTCACCAGGAAGATAAAGTAGCAGCTCATTCTGGATGATAAGCATTTGATTTGAATTACTTAAAAAAAATACATAAATAAAAACCTTGGAAAATCTTCATCTTGCCATTCTTCCTTAAACTCAACACCTTCCATTCTTCAGTCAACTTGAATTGCTAACAGCGACTCCTGATCAGCCAGAACCTCTTGTCTTCAGGACAGTGGACTAAAGAGGAGCTGCAGGAACACAGCAGAAGATGCTAGTCCAATACTATTGTAATTCTCATACTTGCAACACAACCTTCACTTACCACCAAGTTGAGGTATCATGCAGAAAAGAAATTAAAAAAAAAAAACAACAAGGAAAAGTTTATGGGATGTTTCCTTTTTTTTTTTTCCCCTCATACAAAACTGCTTATGGAATTAGTTTATCATTCAATAATTTAAGTTGAAAGGGATCTCGTGTAGTCCAATGCCCTGCTTAAGCAGGATGAACCTCTCAGTTAAAATCAAGGCCCTAAGCAACCTGATCTATCATTTAGGATTACAATCAGTTCACTCCAAACTGTAAGAAACCTGACAGCTCTTTAGATTCTACAGGAGATATTGAGTATGTATATTTTGAGGAAAAAAAAACAAACCAGATGATCAGATCTAAAATACAACCCAGTTCTTCAAAAAAACCCAGAACTTTAAAGATAACTATTTCAGAAAGTGTAACTCACCCTGTGATGTGCAAGTCACGCCGTGTTTTTTCAGGCTCACCCATCACCAGCAACAAGGAATACTCAGTAAAGAAACATAATAAACCATTCTGCTGACATACAAGTCCGATCCAGTTGAAGCTCTTGGCTGTGTTTGCTCTAAAGATTGACAAGAAGAGGTAAACAATCAATGAAGATGTTAAGAAAACCAACACCAATCAAAACAGGAAACTAAATGGTATTTTTAAATGCAAAGAAGCAATCAACACACCACCAGTAAGCAGAAAGTTTGAATGCAATCACACTGTTAATTAAGCCAGAGAGACAATTTATTTTTTATGTGGCTAAAAAGAAACAAGTAACACTTACTGTTCTGTGGGATCACCTTTCACGACAAATCTCAGTTTCTCTTCTCCTGACCTGATTACAACCATAGACTGATTTTAAAACATCTTGCAATGCTTAAAGCTACACTACAGAAGCCGATTAGTGAAAAAAATATAAAAGACTATTTTTTTGTAAAGCTGCAGTACCAGAGACAAATTAAACGCTAATGACCAACATTTAAGCCAATTTTACTGATATTTCCCTGCTTCCCTCAACCCAGAAAATTGAAGTAAAATTTCTAGAAGGCAGCAACCTGGTTCCTCTTAAGAGTCAGACTCCCTGTTTGAATTGATCAGCCCCTGCACCGCTCGGTTGCTGGCAGCATGTGCCTGTGCACAAAATCTCAAAGAAGTTGCCCCCAGCAATTCTGGCAGCTCTCCCCTCTTTCTATTTGTCCTTTTTAACTAACATGCTGTTTGGGGTAGTTATTTGCTGCTTGAATCACATGACTTTCCTCATGAAACATGTTCTCTTTTTCATTAAGATGCTGATACTCTCAGCATGCAGTTTCTCCTGGGTACTAACCTGCTGAGCGTTTGCAACAATGAATTTTAAACCTTTGCTTGGAGATAAGATCATATTGTGGTCAGTAGTAACAGTGAATATGTACCTAGTTCTTTATGCATTTGTTTCAGAACGCTGAGATGAAGCAGGAGAAGTTTAACAAGGTACCCTACGCAGTTAAGCGAATACAGTGGTTACAGTCAGTATGGAACAGCCCATCTGATGCAAATACGCAGTTCAGTGTAAACAAACAGACACTAAACCTAAAAGAAAATCTAAACTGATGACTTTAAGGGACAGATGAAGAAATGAAGAAAACTGACAGAAAAAAAACCAACAAAACAAAACACCACCACAAACCAACCCTATCACTGTGCTGCACGCTTCTGAAGAATACCAAACACCGAATAACGTCTATTAGTTTCAGATGCACAGCATTTCAGTAAAGCAGCAATTCTGACCTAAATGTATTTCGTTGCATTGAGATAAACTTGATACACTAAGACAGGCACAGAGTTTAAAAGTTACTCACGTTGTAATCAAAGTTTAAGACACTTGAACAAAACACTTCTCAAACTACTTGCGGAATTCTCATCAGTAACCTATTAAGGTAGATTTAAAAGCAGTCATTCACTACCACGTAGTACAATTGCCAACAACTTACAAGGCAAGTTCAACATCAGATAATCTTGAATTTAGGTTTTCGGCATCCTACTTAATATGCAGACTAAGTAGTTGTTTTGGATGTTTGGACTTAAAGTCTCATGTACAAACACACTATCATTTGTCAACTAGAAGAATGGGAAATTAAGGAGGAAGGGTAATCTCAAGAGAGTTAGGGAAGTGCTGACTTTAAGCTTAACTACTGAATAATTTTACATCACTAATATAAATGCTTACAAAGCAGGGGAAAAAAAATCTACTGTTTCTGCTTATACAAACTAAAACAGAGTTTAGAATAGTCTTCCTATACCTGCTGTAGCAGTGCTGACATCTTGTTTTTACTATGCCAAAGTCTCTTTTTAATTCAGCTGTAAATCAGAGATCTAAAAGCTTAACTTGAAAAATGTAATATAGTGTAATAATGCAACTACTATTAGTCACGTAGAAGAAAAGCAATTAATTTCTACCTGATCCTAGCACTCTTCATGGCCAACTCAAGAAGTTGTGGTTTCTGAGAACAGCAAGCCTGATCAATTTTACTATCCATTGCCCATTACTTTCCATTTTACTTAAAGAAATGGAATTGGTAGACTGGGAGCTATCTAAATGTCAGAAACCTCCACACATCAAAGAACATCCAGAATGCAGGATTGCCATGGGGTTCTTGCTCTGTTACTGCAACCACTGGACTTTGGTGCTCAACAATGCCTTTTATACTTTTAAGTATCTCAACAGACAAGTTAACATATTACAAAAAGGAAAAAAAAGCATCACAAGCAAACACATCACTCAAACCCACTACTCTTCTACTACAGCTAATAAACAGATTTCCATTTCCAGAACACCAGATTGAACCTAGGTAAGTTTGCATCTGAAGAGTATTACTGCTTGCACCAGAAGTCTAACATCAGTGTTCCCATCCCTCTTTCTAGAAAAAGAGATAATTTACCAAGTTCTCACATTAATACCAATCTGGCTTAGTTGGTAGGTGCTGGAGTATCAAATAAGCAGAATTAAGAACCTGGTTATCAATTGCCATTTTTAAAAATTTAGTTTACAGCTAAACAGAGACTCTAATCTGTCACAGATACTTAAAAAAGACAACAGAATGCATGAGATCATTTTATTCATGAAGTTAAAGACCCCTTGCAAACATTACTTTTTAGACTTTCAACATTGAGTTCTCAGAAGAATACACAAATAAATGAGTTGTTACGCATTTACATGGTCATACCTGCCTATCTAACACAAGGACCTATTTTCAGTCCTTGATGAGCACCTCAGCATCTGAAATAGACTAAGTACAAAGTTTATTTTGCAAGACAATTGCAATGATGAGCACACTACTGAACTATACTGACCGGCAAAGAACAGCATACTGTTTCAGTCTGAGGAAGTTGAAATCAACTTCAAAAAAGTTTGTGTATTTTTTTTTCCCCTACATTTCATCTTCACCATTTCAACAGAAACATTATCTGTGCGTTAGTTAAGTGAATTCCAGGTTCCAGGCCTTAAAGAGGTGCCTCTAAGTATTTTTCAAGTTTGATTTTACAGCAAGCCAAAAGTAAGGAACAGAGATAGATTCTGGTACACACATCCACGTGGTGCAGCTCACTATAATTTCTAAATGTTTTTATAGCCCTTTTGGGATGTGGCCACACTAGCCATGACCTCAGGAAACATTTCCCATATCTGAAGATGGACATCCAGACTTTTACCACTTGCAAGTTCGCATAATGATGTGATGCAAAGACTTCAATTAATAACAAATCAATTCTTCATCTCCTTTTACTCCCTTCTCTCAGCATCAAAGCATGGATAAATCAGTCAGCTAAAAGAGAAGATTTTTGAAAACACTCTTGCTTTCATCTCCGAGGATACTGCTTTAAACTCCACATTCAAACCAATAAAAAAATCCACATTTCTGATTCATGGAGATTCACTTAAACGTAAATACTAACTTGTCAGACAACAGCCAAAAAAAATTTATACCCTGCCTAAATACAATCAATATTCCTTTGTAAGATTATAAATACACATACAAATTAACCAGAAATAATCAATTACTACTTAGTGTATTACACTAGCAGCTGGAAATAAGAAGGAACTAAAATAAGAGGCACTAGAAAGCAACTCTAACTTCTGTGACATAACCTCTATACTGTGCGTTTGCTAAACCTACACGGGAAAAAGTTACTCCACTCACACACCCCGCTCATTATACAGCTACACAAGGCGGGGGGGGGTGGGGGGAGCGTCGGTAGCTGAAGACAAGCCCACAACCTCATTAGCGGTAACAAGGCTGGGGTTTGTGCTGCTCTGGAGCGACTGCCCTACCGGGGCAGGGGAAGGGATTGTCAAGTTAACATTTTCTTGCTCTAAACTCTTCCCTCTGCTGCTCCCAGCGCCGACAAGAAGCCGTGCAGAGCGAGAGCGGCGCCTGCGGAGGAAGCGGCGAGCCGGGCAAAGCGGAGCGGCAGCACCAGCCCGCTCGGCTCCCCGCGG